GTGACAGATCTGAATGCCTTCAGTCAGCTCACCCTCCCTCCCGCCCCGCCAGGCGGGTGTGGTGGGGGTGGGGCCCCGGAGCCAGGGTGTGACCTCTGCCTAGAGCTTGTCTCCCTGCCCTGCATTTGTAGAAAACCCCTGCGTTGGTGTCCTGGGTCACACCTGACCAGGTGCTACAGGCAGGGCGGCTTAAACGACAGCACTGGGTTCTCCCAGGGTCCGAGGCTGGAAGGGAGGGTAGGGCAGGGCAGGGCGTCGGCCGGCTCTCCTCGGAGACCCTCTCCTCGGCTTGTAGAGGCCTGCCTGTCCCCTGTGTCTTCACATGCTCGTCCCTCTGCGTGTGTCTGTGTGTCCTCATCTCCTCCTCCTGCAAGGACACTGGTCAGGGCCAGATTGGATTAGGGCCCTGTACTGACCTCTTTTCACTGTATCACCTCCTTAAAGACTCTCTCTCCAAACACAGTCACCTCCTGAAGTCCTAGGGCTCAGTGCTTCAACGTACGGGATGGGCGTCGGGGGCCACAGCTCTCGGCCAGTGACAGCCTCTGAGCGTGGAGGACGCCGACGCCGACCTCAGTTTCCAGGCAAACATAAGTGAGAGCCGGCGCCCAGACACCCCCAGGAGACGCTGCAGGTGCCCCTCCAAGTGGGGAGTGCTGCTCAGGGTGTGGTCTTCAAGTGTCTTCCATTTAGGGGACCCCAGTCCTGCTTCCCCACAGCCCCGCAGTTGTGGGTCTGGAGAGAAGGGGCCTTATCATTGGCCTGCTTTCGCCATGTCCCCTCCCTGCCCCGCGGTGCCTTTCATTGCGCCCTGCACAGAGCCCTGTGGCTCCTGTCGGTTTAGGACTGAGCAGGACACCCTGCCCTGCCGTCCAGCCGTCCAGCCCTTCTCCCCAAGAGGACCTTGTTGAGGGTCTTTAAACATGTGAGACTCGCTCAAGGCCCAACGTCTCCTCATGGGCCTGGCCCTGGTGCCAGCTTTGCAGCCTCAGGTTCGGGCGCGGGTCGCAGGGGTCCGCACACAGAGGCAGGACGGTTCGCTGGCTGCCCGCGCCACCCGCATCTGCGCACCGGGGCCACTTCCCCGACCACTCAGGTTTCTAGGTCAAAACCAACGAAAGCCCTTGGTCTTTTTCACATGTGCTGCTATGAAGCTGTGCCTTGCTTGCTCTGGGGTTATTTTTCGGTTGACGACTTTTTGGTGGAGACGTAAAGAACTGCTGGGTGGTATGTGTCCGAAATCGGAAGTGTAAGTTTCTGGGAATCGTGTCACACGCGTCTCTGTGGAGTGCCTTCCGGGTTCACACCACCTATGGCTTGGGGCGGCCCCCTGGCCTGAGAACAGCCGGGCTTATCTGGTGTTCCCCAAAATACCGCTTTCTCCTCCCTCTATAGGTGGAGGGCGGGGGGCACCTTCAGCGCCCTGTCCTTTGTCTTTTCTGTCCATACTTGGTGTCCTGCAGCCAGGGGCTGAGGCCCGATGGTTCGATTTTAGGGCATTTTGTGAGCTGATCGTTAAATACAGCCATTGTTAAGAATTAGATGATACAAACTTAAAATTAAGTGAATTACGAGGGGGGCCCCCAAAAGTGGAATTTATTTATAAAAAATTGTGTATTTATCCTTACATGTTTAACCTTCAGTCACCTTCAAAGGACTCTCCGTTTGATTCTAGACACCTATCGAGACATTTTTTCCCGCTGCCCAAAAGGGTTTTTGAACTCCTCGATTTTGATGCCTTTTAGTGCTTCTGTCATTTTCTGTTTTACCGTTTCTACATCAGCAAAATTTTTCCCTTTGAGGACTCTCTTTCATCTGGGGAAACAAAAAGTTGTTTGGGGAGAGATCAAGTGAATAGGGAGGGCGGGGCATGGGGGCCATGCTGTTTTTGGTCAAAAACTGCTGAACACTCATTTCGGTGTAGACATTGAAAGAGTCTTCAAAAAAAATTCACTGAAGCTGAACACAGCCTCTCACAACAACGCCAGCTGGTGCACTGATACAGATGAGTTCCTAGAACACTCACCGAGTAGGGGAAGCCTGTACTACAGGGGTCCCGCCCTCCAGAAGATAATCATGGTTATTTGGGGGTCCCCCATCCTATGTTAAAAACAAAAGTCATGACAATACTGAAAATCTGATTACATCCTGATTATTTGGCTGCATTTGACTCTGTCCTGTGCACCGGAGGTCATTTGCATTGTTGGATCTGTGTGACAGAAATCCTCTCTGATGGTGTGCTGCTGTGTGTCTGAACCGGTGGCTTGAACTTGGCCATGGTGGAAATATTTACACCTTGGAAACTGGCAAACAGTACAGATCAGGGCTTGATTTATTGACTTGTGGAATGTGGAGGGCAGAGGTCAGCAGACTTTTCCAGTAAAGGACCAGGGAGTATTTTCAGTTTCACGGGCCATGTGATCTCAGTTGCAATGCTCAGCTCTGTTGGCAGCTGCCTGCAAGCAGCCACGGCTGCTGTGTCCCTGAATGAGTGTGACTGTGTTGCAATAAAACTTTATTTTAAAGAACAGTCCTGGGGCCAGATGTAGCCTGCGGGCCATAGTTTGCTGGACCCCCATTCTGGACTTAAGAAAGTGGTGGAGAATACATTAATAGGTAAAGATTAAATTGAAATGTGTTACTTGTCTCTGAACTTCAGCAAAGCAGCAGCCATGCTGGGCAGGCAGGAAGCTGGGTATTTGAAGAGGAGATGATGAGAGGAGGCAGGATCGCAGAGCAGGAGGAAAAAAAGGAAGGGAAAAAAAATATTTCGATTCCCAGTGTAGGGCATATGCCAAGGTTGCAGGCCAGGTCCCCAGCAGGGGGCACGCAAAATGCACCCACATGTTGATGTTTCTCTTCCTCTCTCTAAAAATTAAAAAAAAAGAGAAAGAAATACTCTTCTAGTGCTGGAAAAATATTATCTGGTCCCTCTAAGTGGCCCATGTCACTGTTGAATCAGTGAAGTTCTAGAGTCATCTTGTCCATCCTGTCTTCTGTATTTCATTTTCCTTTCACATGTTAAGAAAAATAAAGATTAAATCAAAAAAGAAAGAATAATGAAAATATCCATCAACTTCACCTCTTGAAAGTACTTTCTTTGCTGATTGCAGCCGTAGAGTGGCTGCGTATACCAGAGTTCAGAGAAAACCCACAAAAACAGTCTGTAGAAATCAGCTGGCCATATGGAGTTTTACACAATAAGGAGTTTTGTGTATTATTCCTTATAAATGATGCTTCACACCTTTTACACCAGTACATTCTATAATAAATTTATACGTGCACATTTATATGCATACATATGTGCATACAGGCACATTTTTCTGGAGAGCCCGTTGTGAAGCATTACCCGCGTCCGTAAGTACAAGTCTGGCTGAGCCTGCCTTGCTGGATTAGTAGACGGTCCCTCCCACTCCATTCCCACCGATTCTCTTGTTACCTCTTGTTACTACCTCCCACTTAAATACCTCTCCGAACAGCTTCTGGATCCAGCAGCAGTGGCTCAAGGCTTACGTTGAAGCAGCAGCTCTGATTAATCAGCCCACGTCCTTAACCCTTCCCAAGCCCTCTCTCTGCCTCTTGGGTCTTCTCTCTGGCAACTGCTAGCACACCCTCAGCTCTGGGCACACCCTCAGCTCTGGGCACACCGCGGTGACCCAGAGGAAACGCAGCCCTTCCTAGCTTTAGGAGGACACACCTAAAGCCTCAGAATTTGTCTGTCACTGTGTGGTCCCCAGGTCTCCTGTAAGGGCGTCAGGAGGCTGAGCAAGGGGAAGGGGTCGCCATGAAGGGTGCCCTCGCCCCCTCCCTGCTCCCCCTTCCAGTCTGAGGGGGGACCCTCCGCTCCAGGCCGACTCCTTCACAGTGCCTGTCCCTGCACGCGATGCTTTTCCCTTCCTACAAAGTGATGAGAAACCACACGTAGACCTTCAGAATTTCCTTTCCAGCGACTTTAAAAGCCTTGTCCTTCCTTTTCAATAATGTTCATGCAGTGAATGTTTAAGGAATGAATTGGGGAAACCTCTCAGGTACTTGGCTCAAAGTTTGTTTGTTCGTTCGTTCATGCATTCATTCGGCTCTTCTTTTGTCCCCACCCAGTGACAGTAGTGAACCACCATGGCCCTTGCCCTCATGGGCTCAAAGCTGTGACATGTTGCCCTAAAATCCCAGGATAGCATGAGTTTTAAATAGATAACTGTTTATTACAACAAAGCAGTTTGACACGAATATACAGGGTGAGACAAAAGTAGTTTACAGCTGTTCCTATGGAAAATGATACAATAATTAATACACAATAATAGAAAAATAAACTTTCACATAATCACAACTGTAAACCTACTTTTGCCCCACCCTGTATATTAACGTACCAAATAAATAACTTTGCATAGAACAGGCATTTAAAATGGACAGACTCCCGCGCGTAACCTGATACCTTTCTCACAGCCCTTTGACTCTCCGGGGCTCCATCCTGCCGCCCCTGTTGACAGCACGCACACTGAGGGCGCTGGGGTGGGGGCTCCTGGGAAGGGGCCGCGGGGCCAGGCCTCGTCCCTGCTGTGTTGCCCTGGGGATGGCAGCTCAGCTGCAGGAGGGTGAGCCTGGCGCTGCCCTGGGCTTTCTGCTTTAGAGGCCCCTGGCTCCTTGCTGGGGCACTGCCCCCTCCCACAGAGCAAGGAGACCTCAGGACCTGGAAGGTGCATCTGCCCAGAGCCCCGGCTCCCTTCCGGACCTGCCGTGAGGTGCTCAGACCACGGGCCTCCCTGCGCAGGCAGCCCTGCACCATCAGCGTGCACCCCTAGGCCCAGGCTAGTCAGCAGGCCGGCCGTTCAGCCCTGGGGCGGCCTGGCGGGCTGAGCTGTTGAGGACTCCTGCCCCTCTTTTCCCCAGGACACTTGGAGGTGTGGTTCTCCTTGTCTGAAGAGCACCCCAGCCTTCCACCCTTGCTGGCAGTGCTGGGAGCCGGGGCCTGACCTTGCTGCCCGTTTGCCCCTGTCCCTCAGCTGGGGCGTTCCACTGACCATCACCGTGGTGGCCGTCGTTCTAAAGAAGATCGGCTATGACGCCTCAGACGTGTCCGTGGGCTGGTGCTGGATCGATCTGGAGGCGGAGGACCGCGTTCTGTGGATGCTACTGACCGGGAAGCTGTGGGAGATGCTGGCCTATGTCACACTGCCCGTGCTGTACCTCCTCATCCGGAAGCACATCAACAGGGCGGTAGGTGCCCATGCCCACCCTCCCCGCAGGTCCTGCCCAGGGCGCCCTGTGGCCGCTGTGCCCGCTGTGGCCTCACCCGACCAAGTCCTGGCATTATGCTCAGCCACCTTCTGGAACAGAACTAGTCATGGAGGGCTTGCTGTGCATCGGGCACCGCGAATCACATGCAGCAGGGGCTGACTGGTTTGCTGATTACACAGCCCTTTTGGGAGCAGGTCCTGTGACTCCCACTTGGTGGACAACAAAGAGGGGTCTTACAGGGGTTAAGGGCTCCCCGGACCCGCTCGGCTCTCCAGGAGCCAGCAGCAGTCTGTGTGCTCAGCCACAGCCCTTTACTGCGCCCTCCTGGACAGACCCAGGCGGTGGCTCACCCTCCCCACACCGCCACCCCGCCCCAGGGGAGTTTAGATGAAAGGTGAGCAGTATCCAAGTAAGAATCAAACTGGGAAGGGAGGCCATGAATCACCCCATCAATGAAACAGTAACACCTCGTTATCCTTGGTGATTAGAATTAGAGCATAAATGGTAGGCTTCCCAGGCACTCAGGAATTCCTACATCAATGTGCTGGGCCGGCTGGCCAGAGATCCTAGGAAAGAATGGTTTTTCTCTGACAGTCTGGCCAACTGTTCCTGTTCTTTACTACTGGCTCTGCGGATGCAAAGTGTGGGCTTCCTCCTGGCCACAAGCAAACTGCCACCAAAAGAAGCCTCCTCTTGACCCATCCGTCCATCCGCTGTGCCGCTCATTCAGTACATTTTTATCGAGCCTCTCCTACGCACAGAAGCGCTGTGCGGTGGTGGGAGTTCATCCTGAGAACTCAGCCGCGGGTCCTGTCCTAGAGAGAGGCAGAAGCGTAAGCAGTGACGATAAAAGATAAAAGGCGACAAGACGCTGCGGCAGTAGGATCGGCCGTGGGACTCTGAGCGCGGACTTCTAGGCGCTCGGGCGGGGCCGCTGGTGCGGCGCCTTGCGTTTTCAAGGCTGGAGCTGGAGGCGAGTGCGGCTCCGTCATTCTGGGCAGGCTGTTGGCTCAGAGGCGAGTGCGGCTCCGTCATTCTGGGCAGACTGTTGGCTCAGCAGCCACGTCTGAGTGCGCAGGGTGCTCCTGGCAGCTGTCAGCAGCACCTGATCCCCGCCTGTACACCCACCTGAGTCGAGGCTTCTGGCTCTTGCTTTACTCAGAACCGAGCTGATCCTGGTCCCTCCAGGCCGCACCGCCCCCGCCCCCGGGCTCAGCCAGAGACGGAGAGGCCTGAAGGGCTTACCAGCTGCTCTGAATCCCGCTTTGCCTTCTAGCCAGGCCGGGATGCCCTCTCCTCCAGGGGGCGCTCTGGGCTCCCTGAGCTCCACCAGGCTCTGCCCGGCAGCTCCTCTGGAGCAGCCCTTTGTGTCTGTCTTACCTCCCTGCCCTTCCTCTAATGGGCAGAAGCCTGGACCCTCTAGGCCCGACCCCCATGCGCAAGGATGGGTCCGCAAGGGTTTCTAAAAAGGAGAATGGCGGGCAGGGAGGTGTTGGTAGGAGGTGTTCCTGCCTCCGGCTGGGAAGGAGAGGTAAAAATAACAGGAGCCCGCGGAGCAGACGCTCGGCGCTGCCCACAGTGGCTCGGCTCTGGAAGGGGCTGCTGCCCAAGGCCCCGGGCGAGGGGGCAGGGGCTCGGGCGCCAGGGATGCCAAGGTATGTGGCTCCTCCTCTCACCCAGACCCAACACAGGGCCAGGCTCCGGAGCGCATCTTTGTTGTGAGCAGTTTGGTTTCTTTTTACAAACTCAGCTGTGATCTGGAAGGGGAGCCTCTGCGTCTTCTCGCTGAAGGGCATTCCCGGGCACAGGAGCCAGAGTGGGTGCCCGCTCACCTCTCCTTGGTGGCCCAGCTTTGGGGGAGCCCCTCCTGTGAGCTCCTGCCATGGGGCAGCGTCTGGGAGCTTGTGTCCTGGAGGCGGGCATCATAAGCAGTCAGCCTGGTACACAGGGGAGAATGAGGTCTGGGAAGGAGGGCGAACCGAGCTGTGAAAAACAGACAGAGAGCTGGCTGTGGGGCCGGGCCGCGTGGGGAGTATAGTCCTTTGGTGAGGTTGTCGGGCAGGCCTCGTCCAGGAGCTGGTGTTGGAGCGAAGCCCGGAAGACGGTGAGGGAATGAGGCGCATGGATGGATGGGGAAGGGCATCTCAAGAGGCGGAACAGCGGGGGCACAGGCCCAGGGGCAGGGTGTGCTGGGCACGTTTGGGGAATGAGCAGGAGACCTGGGTGGCTGCAGTGGAGTAAATAAGGGGGGAGAAGTCAGAGTGAGGTCAGAGCTAACTCGGGGTTGGAGACCTTGGAAGGGCCTCGTGAAATGGAGAGCCACCAAGAGCCTAGAGTGGAAGCTGGGTGGGATCTGACTTAGGTTTTCAAGCGACTGTGCAGCTTCTGTGCTGAGAATAAGGCTGTAGCAGGGTCAGGGCGGGGGAAAGGGTGACAGAGAGAGGCACGCAGAGGCGGCAGCAGCTATCCACAGAAGCTGCGATAGGGCTTGGACCATGCTGGTGGCAGTGGATGGAACTTGCAGGTCCTGGGTCTCTTTTGAAGGCAGAGCCCCCAGGACTTGCCCACGGGCGGGATGTGGGCTGTTAACAGGAAGGGAGGAATCAAAGACGACACCCAGATTTCAGCCTGGGCACCTGGAGAGATGGCGTTTCCGTTAGCTAAGATGGGACGGCATGGGGTCAGCCTTGGGTCGCAAGCAGGCGTTCGGTTTCCAGGAAGCTGTGGAGATAGAGCACAGGCCGTGGACGGAGGAGACAGGAGTTCAGGAGAAGGATCCGGGCTAGAGACAGGAGCCCAGGAACGCGCTTGCTGCCTCCTCGCCCTGCGAGTCTGAGTCCTGGGAAGACGGGCGCCCTGGGGCAGCCGGCGGGCAGCCTGCCCCACTCACGGCTGCCCCTGGTGCCCCTGCACAGCACGAGGCGCTCTCCGAGTACCGGCCCATCCTGTCTGAGGCACACCGGCTGCAGCACCACAGCTCCATGGCTGATAAGAAGCTGGTCCTCATCCCGGTCATCTTCATTTGCCTCCGGGTCTGGAGCACCGTGCGATTCGTCCTTACCCTTTGTGGCTCCCCGGCCGTGCAGACCCCGGTGCTGGTCGTTCTGCATGTACGTATGGAGGTCTGCCCTCCCTGGCCTGCTGTCCCAGCGGGGGCAGGGTCAGATGGCTTCCCCCAGCAGAGCAGGCACGCGTGTGCGCATCAGCGCGCGTGGGGCTGGCAGGGGCCCGGCCCTGCTGTGCCCTCCTTCCTGCCCTAGACAGGGAGCCTTGGTGGGAGAAGGTGAGGGTCCGTGTGGCTCTAGTGCAGCCCACGGGTGTGTTGAGGTGCTGTCCCCCGGCCTAGGAGTAGACCCAGAAGCGTGGACTGATTCTGGGTCCTTCACAACCCGGAAGACCTGGAGGCAGGTCTGGCCCACATCTGCACGTTCAGACCTGCCCAGAGCTCTGCTGAAGGCTCACATGGCAGGGCCACCACAGACCAGCCCTGGGGGTGGAGGACAAGGCTCTGGGGTCCGCGGCACTTGCCAGCCCCTTTGTGCGCGTGTCTAAGAACCGCTCCAGCCCTGTGCTCATGCCTCTCCTCTCCTTCCTGACAGGGAATCGGGAACACGTTTCAGGGAGGCGCCAACTGCATCATGTTCGTCCTCTGCACCCGCGCTGTCCGGACTCGGCTCTTCTCTCTCTGCTGCTGCGGCTGCCCCTCGCCGGCTCCTGTGGAGAGCGCTGCTGGCCCGCCCAAGGCTCCTGCGCCCTCTGAGACGGGAAACTCAGGGACCCCGGTGGACCCCCGATGAGCATCCATATACCTGAGCTCTTCCCTCCCTTGTTCTGTGTGGGGGTGCTCCCTCCCCGGGGGGTACAGGTGTCTCCGAGTCGTCCTGCTGCAGGGAGTGGACGGAGGCGTCTGCCACACCGGAAGCCCTCCTGCTGCCCACAGTCTGAGCCGAAAGGCCGAGAAGGGACAGAGGCCTGCCTCCTGCCACGGGAGTTCTCGGCCCTGTTTGGGGGGCAGCCGACAACTCAGCTTCTTCTACCTCCTAGACCTCAGGCGGCATGTATCCACACACACCCGTGTCCCGCTGCACCCGGGGGTCTCTGTGCATAAGCACTGGAGCAGGGAGATTCAGGGAAGCCAGCAGTACGCGATCGCCACCAGGTTGCCTTATGGCCCAGCTGTCATTGGCTTCTGGGCCACACAGCACTGTTTACAGTCTGAGCTCCCGCACCCGTGGGCAAAGCAGGGTGAGGGATGCACACCAGGTACCCATCCTAAATAAAACGTCAGGGGTCTCATGATGGGGCCCCCACCCTAGATGTCGTGGAGCAGATTTCCGGAGTGTCATGGTGTTAACATTCCCTAGAGAGTGTGGCCCTTCTTGGCGGGCTTTGTAGTCGACGAGCAGTCACCTTGAACCAGGTTCCCTTGAGGTTTCCTGGTGAAAGTCGTGAGCACAGTCCAACGCAGCTGCTCGGATATGCAGTCTCCTCGGCGCTGGCCCAGCTCGCTCTGGGGGTTGCCAGGCTTGGGTGTAGGGTGCACTTGAGTCTCAAGCACAGGCCGGAACCCAGAGCCCCGCCTCCACAGCCACTTCAGATCCAGGGCCCCTCATCCCGGGCAGGGGCTGGGACAGGAACAGGGAAGGCCACTGCGGGGGCTCCCTGGAGATCCCCCATCTTCTCGCAGGACTATGCGTGTGGGCGCCGGCACGGGGTGCATTGGGGCTGCGTCTGGCCTTTTCATGTCCTAGTTTAGTTTTTATAGGAAAGGTGACCAGATTATTCGTGAACAGCCCAGATACTGATTCCTCCCCGAAGGTGAAGGTTTGGGAGTTGGTTGGGGGAAGTGACACATGGGTCACAGGGTGATTATTTCCATTTAATAGAAAAAGGATTTAAAATAAGCACCTGTCTCTACCCTGTGCATCTTCAACCAACCCTTTCCTCTATTTCAGAAAGCTTTCTCTGTGAAGTCACAGAAGCCATCGGCTAGGAACCGGAGGTGCAAATGTCACCACCAGAGCCTTGCGTGGGAAGTGCAGCCTCCCTGCTAGGTGTCCCTCCCTTGGGCTCCCTGAGAACCCGCAAAATTGAAATAATTTGCGGAACCTATAGAATGGTTCTGGATTAAAACCAAAGGCACACCGTCCTGTGGATTCCTGTTTTACTCTCAAAAGTGAATCTGCAACAGGAAGAGAATCTGAAAGGAATTGCCTGCAGAATTTGGTCCACAATGATTGTTTTGGTTTCCTTTAAAAAAGTTTATGAAAATCAGCAAGAGGTAAACTTCCCCTTAGGATTCAGAGAAAACCCGGGGTTGCGCCACAGCCAGCCAGTCAGTCTGGCAAGCTCCTTACAGAAACGGCCCCTGTGAGGGGGGTTCAGGGTTTCCCCAAAGATGTAACAGCAGGTCGCGGGCACATACCTGGTCAAGACCCTCATGTTAGCTTCTCGAATGCAGCAGAAACTCAGGAAGCTGCTCGCTGCAGAGAAGAAAACGATTCACAGCTGAGGTTCCCTGTGGGCGGCAGAGAATGCTGCCAGAGTCCTTGGCTCACACTGCCCCGGGGGCCAGGCCGCCGTCAGGAACGGCCAGCAGGGGGAGCCAGGGCTCGAGTTCTTACTCCACTTCTCTGACGCTGCTGCTGTGCTGTCTGCTTTTGTAGAAACTCCACACAGTTACACCTGGGTATTTCCGTCTCGGCTCCCTCCGCTGCCCACGCCGCCTCTGCAGCTGGTGAAGCTGTTGCTGCGGGCGGGGGAGAGGATCGCCAGGTGCGCGCCTGAGGCCGGAGGCCAGGCTGGGGCACGGCATCGCTCTCAGAGCCGCCCAGCTGGGCGGGTGGGCAGAAAGGCCCCGGGCGGAGGGTCAGCCCTTGTGGAGCAGGCAGGTGCTCCGAGCCTGCGGACACCAGAGCGTGCCCCGTTTACTTTCTCCTCCGTCCCTGTCGTTACTGTTTACCCACCCTCAACCCTCCGTCACAGAGGTGCAGCCTCAACTGGGACAGGTGCTGTGGTCTCCGGCGCTCCTGAACCTTGGTCTTTTAACCTGGTTTACCCGGGACTCTGTGCCTCTTTGTGCTTCGGAGTTGTTTTTATTTGTTTTGTTAATATTGTTAGACTCAGGCCAAGGGTACACAGGTCCCCATATGTCCAGGACAAGAAAACACATTTTTGCAAACTTCCTGTTACAGCATATTAACATAGCTTGAGGGGTTTTTTGCACATGCAGAACTGTAAGGAAAACCCTGACCATCTAGGTTGAGGTCAAAGTCCTGCTATTTTAAATGAAATAAAAATATTTTCTGTGTGTGTGTGTGTTGTAAACTGATTGCCCGTGCTGTGGGGAGGTGGGCAAGGGGGCCTCCCCAGAGCCTTCCACACGGGGGCCTGGAGGTGACATCTAGGCCCTTGGCTGTGGGGAAATGGAGTCAAGTAGGCAGCCACCCTCCCTGTTGGCATAGTCGCTCCTGTGTTTGCCTGATGGGGTCACAGCGGTGGGGCTGGGGGTATTAGAATACAGGCCCCGTGTCCTGTCCCGTATGCATGTCAACAAGTCCATGTCCCAAGAACCCGTGGCCTGGGGCCAAGTCCTGCGAGAGTGACACCCCCGCGCCGAGGCCTCCCTTCGCGTGATCGCAGCCCGCCTGGCTCACTGCAGCGGCAGCCCCCCGCGTCCTGGTGGTCGGGGACAGCGGGGACACAGGCTCTTCTCCCAGGGGAGTGGCCCTCCAAAATCAGCCCTTGGAGCAGCTGCCTGGCTCCGTGTGAGTCTGCATGGCCCACGCAGCCCCGCGTTCCAGTCTTTTTTTCCTTTCTTTGTAACTGCTACAGCTCGGGACCTTAGCTCCTCCGAAGTGTTGCTGTTTATCTGTTCCACTTTCCGGTTTTTGAGAAGTTAAAAATCCTCTAACTATCAAGAGAAGGAGGAGACAAGCCACAGACTGGGAGAGAGTATCTGCAAAAGACACACCAGCGTCTCCGCACGAGATGATGCACGTTCACTAAGCCCCTCGCAGTCACTGCTTCACGATACCCGTAAACCGGATCATCGTGCTGCACACCCTGAGCGTGTGCAGCGATGTATGTCCATCACTTCTCTATAAAACTGGGAAAAAACACACCTGAAAAAGGACTGTTCTCCTAAATATACATGAACTCTTCACATTCAACAATGCAAACAACTTCGTTAAGAAATGGGCCAAAGACTTTACCAGACGTCTCACCAGAGAGGATACACAGACAACAGACGACAGGATGCTGCGCATCATACAGCGTCAGGGAGATCAAACTCAGCACGGAGATGTCTCTGCACACCTATCGGAGCGGCCAAAACCCAGAGCACTGACAACACCAAGTGCCAGGGACAGCGTGGGATGATGGCGACTCACCCACTGCCGGTGGGATGCGCCAGCAGTTTGATGGTTTCTTACAAAACATTCTCTTACCATAGAATCCAGCGATCGGGCTCCTTGGTATTTACCTAAAGGTGAAAACTTAGGTCCACACAAACACCTGCATGTGGGTGTTTATAGCAGCTTTGCTCATATTTGCCAAAACTTAGAAGCGACCGCGCTTCCACAGGAGGCCCACCCGCCACTCCTGGGCGGCCGCCATGTCCCTAGTGATTGCCGAGGCGTCCCAGCACATTCGCGGGCACTCAACCCCGCTGTCGACGGGCGGCAGACAATAGCCTCGGCCATCACTGCAGTTAAGGGCGTGGGGTGAAGGCAGGCGCGTGCGGTGTCCAGGGACGCAGACGCGGGCCTCACACGGAAGGCTGGTGGGTGAGCTCACGGCGGGGGTGGGGAGGGGTGGGTGGGACCACCATCACGCAGAATCCACGCAATATAAGCTCCTGGACTGGTTCTTAAACAGACGGAGGGACATGAAGGACAGAAAATACAGCGGGGTCCTGGCCAGTGTCTGGACAGCAGGTGCCATGGAGACCCGGAGCCGCTGAGAAAAGTCAGACCTGCTGAGGGCTGTGGCCACTTCTGGGGTCTCTGTGCTCCCAGCCAGCACACTGAGACCATGGGCCGCCGGTGCCACACTGGGGGTGTCCAAGAAGAAATAAATCTGTAGGCCTTGTCTGTTAATAGTTTATACACCTTAAGAAAAGAAAGTGACCAAGATGTCCGTCCTTCAGCAGGGGATGGATAAACAAACTGGGGTACACCCAGACACCGGAAGCGAGCCGGGGAGCCATAACAAGACATGGAGGAAGCTTGAATGCACATGGCTAAGTGGAAAGCCAATGTGAGAAGGCTTTGTGTGGTAGGATTCCAGCCGCCGGGCATCCTGGAAGAGGCAGAAAGAGGGGGAGAGACGACCCGGGGCTGCCCAGGGTCCGAGGGGAGGGAGGGACAAACAGGTTCATCCTCGGTAGCAATGTCCCACCCTGGCAGGGGATGTTGACAGCGAGGAAGGCTGTGAGTGCGCGAGAGCGGGGGTGTATGGGAAATCTCCATACCTTCCCCTCAGTTTTGCTGTGAACTTGAAACTGATCGAATTGCCATTTCATCCTCTCCCAGAAACATAACCTTAACCAACCGGTCTGGAATTATCTGGTCAGGCGGGAATAAGGTCATCTGTCTGTGGGCTGAACTGTACACTTAAACATGGTAAATTGTGTTATGTGGTTTTTTAATCACAGTTAAGAAACGTCCTCTACTCAGATTAATGTGTAACTAACAGAAGGCACTGGTGTCCCTGAGGAGCCTCGTGAAGCCCTGGCTCTCACGCTTTCTGTCCTGGGTTCCAAGGGCCACGCCCTTTTGCACAGGCGCCTTCTGATAGGTGAGGTCAAATTCTGTTCTTGGTAAGAAAACATAGGAACCTTGTAATGTTTCTCAAGTTTACTAACCAGGCGTGTCAGAGCATGACCGTCAACCTCCCTGCCTTGGGGACATCTGATAGCACATTGGGCTGGATTCCAGGGTGACAGAGCACAGAATTGGCCTACGGAGCAAAAAAGGTAACTTGGATGGGGCGTCTTCTCTCCCTCCTCCCTCTCCCCATGGCACAGTTGGATTCTGATAGGTTGGTGGCAGGCCTGGGTGGAGCGTGGTCGGCCCCACTGGGTACTAAGTTTAGGCTGTGGGAGTCTGTGTCAAGCAGCTGGACGGCCCCCTCCCCGCATGCCACACAAGGAGGGCTGTAGTTGGGTCCCTGATGAACCTGTTAATTACTCCTTAATTACCTATACCTGGGATGGGCGTGCCTCCCTCCCTCCAATCCAGTCCAGCAACCTGCAGACACACTGCCCCCTCTGTGCCCTTGAGGCATGCGGGCACTTCTGCTCCAATGTGACACATATGTTCCTGAAGGACTCCACATTCTACCATATGGCGCATACACATGACAGAGAGTAGGGGAAAATGGGGTTGGGCCAGCTTGCTCAGATCCCGTGCAACTTTAATCCTGTGCACGCAAACAAAAACAAATGCAAATGAATGAAAACAGCAGCCTGGGTAACTCTCCCCTGACGTTTGCACCCCGCAGCTCAGGGCTTCCCTCCTCCTCCCTTAGGACGAGGGTCTTCAGGCTGTTCACTTCCAAGGGCATCAAACTTTAAAGTCCAAGGTAGGCTGTAGTCAGTGAAAACATCTTCATAGCTTCGTCAAATGTTAGTTAGAGGCCCTTCCAGTTTTCTGTTCTAAGAGACTTTCAGGCAAATGTTTGATGGTTCTATCCGTGACAATGAGGCTCAGCTGCAAGTGACAGAAAACACAATGGGAGAGTATTCCCTTCACGTTAAGTTCAGGAGGTGGTCTGAGGCCCAACAGCTCCACAGGGCAAGGAATGCAGGCTCGACCCAGGCTGCTCCCTTCTTGTTGCTTGGTCCCGGTGGTGGTGGTAGGGGGGCCTCAACCTCGCGGTCCCCGCTGGGGCCACCCTCGTTTCCAGCGGCAGGACAGAAAAAGAGACAATGAAGAGAGCGAGGTTCCTGGAAGACACCACATGACACCTTTGCATATGTCGCTTTAGGCAGAACTATGTCATTTGTCCATTCAAGTACAGGGACGATGGGGAAATGCGCTCTTTATTTTGGGCAGCTACAGGTTCTGCTGCAGTCTATAACTATTGAAGAGGGTCTGAGCAAATGCATTTGGGGGGTGGGTTGCCCCAGCAGCCTACAAAAGAAGCCCGTGGCAAAACTTTAAAATTCCAGAACATCCCTAAGTGGAGGTGAGACCACCGGGGAGGGGAGGCCTGAAGTTCTGGTACCATTGTCTGGCCTCAGAACCACCAGGGATTTGCCAGCCTGCTTTGACCTGCTAATTCAACATTTTACCTTCTGGTTAAGTTTTCCTATATAAACTTTTTTTTTCGATTCTGAAAAGCTTCATTTTTAAAAAAAAGTCCTTTTTATTTTTTGTTGAACTCCAGCCCTAACACAGAAGCGCTCTCATTTCCCCTCCCAGCCTCCTGTCCATCACCAAGTTCCTTGGACTTCCCGCCTCACTCTCTCTCAGGGGCATCCTCAGCCACCTTTGTCTTCCACCTGTTTCACGGCGAAGCACTGCCGCTCCCTGTCCTCTCCCCCAGCCCACTGGTCTCTTTTGAAAACACAAATCGGATTACCGCCCCCCCAGAACCCTCAGCGCCTCCTCTCTGCTCCTGGAACAAAAACCAAGCTCCTCCCCGCGGCCTAACAGGGCCCAGCAGAGTCGGGCCTGCCGGCGGGCCACCTGCCACCTCCCCCCCTCCTCTCTGCTCTGGAGCCCCCCGACCTTCCGTTGTCTTGATGGCGTCCCACGCTCTTCAGCCACAGGGCCTTGGCCAGGCCGGTTCCCTGTCTGGGAGGCTCTCCCCGCCCCCCCACCCCCACCCCGGCCCCCTGTGCCTGGGTTCGCTCTTTTCACCGCCCCCCCTCAGCTCCAGCTGCGGGTTTTCGGGCAGCCTTCCCTGACCAGCACCCTTCCCTCGGATCCCGGCCTTCAAGGCCCTTCTACGGTTACACATTCATCAGCGTGTTTCTTTGGCCAGATTCCATTTCCTCAACCAGAGCCTAAGTTGCAGGAGGCCAAGGCTGCGTTTGTTTTTGCGCCCCATTGTACCCCCTCTACTACAGTAGTAGGGTCAGCAAATGTCAGTGTAAACCTGCGCTAGGATTCAAGTCATCCGTCACCTTACACCCCAGAATAAGCAGTTTTTGAATTCTGGTAAGTGCTCTCAAATTGTGTACTAACATGTTTACATTTTTCTAACAGTATTAGTGATACACAGTGAGAGCGATTTGGGAATGGAGCGCGGGGACCCAAATCCTCCTGTGAGAACCGTTGGTGAGAGCGCACTCTGGCCGAGGCCCGCTCCCCGGTCAGAGGCTAGAGGGGACCTGACGCCTGGCGCTCGGAGAGAGAGCGGGTTCGGATCCTCTCCTCTCCCCCAGAACCAAATCCTAATGTGACTTCCCTGTAACGAATCAAACTGTGGAAGGCGGACGAGGCAGCCAGGAAGGCCCCGCCCAGACCGGCTCCGCCGGGACTCGAAGGCGCTTCTCCGGCTCTCACGGCAGGTGGCTTCAAAACACGAATCAGCTTCTTGGGAATATTCATGCACCGTCCTGCGACACACCTCAGCCTGCTACCTGCACTGAGATGCACAGTCCCCGGGCTAATCACTGTCATTTATTGCTGTCATTTCAAGCCCCAAGGCAAAAATAGACTTTCGCTGGCAAGTTCCCTTCCAGGCCAGACTGGATGGAGACAGGGCTGGGCACGGAGAGCGCGGCCCTGCAGGGGGCACCCGGAGGCCCACGCCCCAGTGTTCAGCTCCGGTGGGGAATAAACAAGCGTGCAAGTTCGGAAAACCAAAAAGAGCACCTGCAAGGGGGCAAACCTGGCCACATGCCTCCCGCCAGCCTGAGGCAGGGGCCAGCACGGCCGGGTGGGACAGACCCCGCCTCCCACCAGCGGGCCACGCCCCCGGCCCCGCCCCTCTCCAGGTCGGAGCCCCGTGGTCTCGGGAGCCAAAGGACTGCCTGACCCGCCCAATGGCAGCCCAAGTACCAGACGCTGCTGTGTCCGGTCCAGGGCTGGGAAGGACCCGGCAGGGGACACAGGGGACCTCCTAGGGGCAGTCCCCAAGCCTCTGGGCCCATTCACTACTATCCCAGGCCCCTCTGGAACCCCCAGGCGCCCTCGGGGCCTGAAGACCCGGCCAGACCTAATGGTGCCCCAGGACACGGGTGGAGACCGTGGGGTCCAGTCCTGGGCCAGAAGGAGGCCGCGGACAGGGGACAGGCACGGGGAGGACGAGCGGCTCCCCGGCCCGGCGCAGCATCACCGCGGCCGTCGGCCATCGCTGGGGCTCCCGCCTCCCACGCTGAGCCCTCCGGGCCTCGCGCGACTCCCCCGCCACCCCTGAGGCGTTGGTGACGACACAGCCATGTCTGCGCTGCCCTGGGACCGGCAGAAGCCAGGTACTGCGGCCCCCGCCTCCCCAGAGCCCTCTGTGGGCCAGGTCTCCATCTGGGGAAGTCGAGGCAGGGGTGGGCAGTGTCCGCGTCCGCCGTCAGCCCTCGGGGTCTGGTTCCCCCACAGGACCGAAGGCGCGCTGGGAAGGAAGCGGAAGATCCGGGCCAAGAACCGGGCCTCTGGTTTCTGCCCGGCCTGACTTTTGCAGACTTCTGACATTTATTTTTGTTTGCATCACCTGTACACCCTTCTCTTCCCTCCCCAATGGTGGATGCCCCCTCCTCCCAACTAACGTGCATTTTCTTTGGAGACTTTTTCATAACTCTTGTAAATGATGAGAAACTGCTGGCCTTGCCAAACTTTAGTTGGGAATCATGGTTCCATGGCTGGTGGGGTCCCCCCTTTTGAATAGGGACACAGGTATCCCTGCCCTACCCTCCAACACACACTCACGGGCTAGTACACTGTCACCCTCTTCACAGTCCCCGCGCCGTGGAGCCTGGTCGCAGTTCCCAACTTGGCTGCTGCAGCCAGGAACAGTGCCTGATTCCCGGGCCCTGTATTTGGGAGTGTGTCATGCGCATCCAAGACTTTCTGCACACACGATACACAAGAGTATTATGCCCGTGGCATATAATCATTATACCCATGTATAATGCGCACCCTAATTGTTCCCTCAAAAACTTGGGAAAAAGTTGTGCATTATACACAGCAAAATACGGTAACTGTCATCTGAAGGTGAAGGAAGGGAAGAAACGGCTACATTAGCTGGATTCGTGCCTCAGCAAATAAAACAGGGAGTACGTGCTGTAAAGATGAAAGTCTACAGGCTTTCGGGGACTTTGCTCTGCATTTTGGCCACTTGACTGAGCCTGCCCCATGGCAGCCGAACACGTGCCCGGCACAGGGGGCTGGCGGCCGCCTGGCGGTGCGTGGAGGACCCGGACCGGCAGCTGTGACTCACTCTCCTTGCCCTGCAGATAAAGAAATTTGACATGTTTACTGCTTTTTCAATAGTGATGACTACATAGAAAGTAACAACTCTAGGCCACTCTGCGTTCCTTAAAAAGGAAAATAAGAAACTCGCCAGGAGCGTGGTGGGTGGTCATTTGGGCAAAAGCTGATTTTCCTGTAGAGAGACTTGGCTATAGTCTCCCTAAGGGGCCATTCCCTAGTAACCCCCTCCTGCCCCCTATTACCCTGTGGGGTGTAGGGTTGTGGCAGCTGTTGCTTTCCATGTGTTTGTGACAGAAATAACCCTCCCAGTCACTCCGCAGGGGCCTGACTGGTGAGGCTTCTGCAGTGAGGAAACAGGGCAGGCTGACCCGGTCAGGCAGGCGCTGTGCCCGCGGACTGGGCAGGGGCTCGGGGGCCGCCCGCCGGGCGAGCCCCAGACATTTAGAAGAAGTGAAAGAATGACAGATCACTGGGCTCCTGAGAGGGTTATCCTGCCGTAGGCTGGCTATAAAAATGCTATTGGCCATCTCTCGGCAAGGCCAAAGTGCAGGCAGGATGTCTTCTGTCTCTGTGCAGTACATTTGTTATTTCGGCTGAGAGGAAGTAAGCGGCACATCTTTCCAGAGCAAGGATGGAGCAGCAGCCTGAGATCAAGAAGGAAGGGGTAAGTGGGGTCCGGGGGAGGGGCGTGGAGAAGCCCGCTCCGCCCCGGCGGGGGTACTTCCCGGGAGCTGCCGTGTCGGTGGCCTGCCCCCTCACAGTTCACCCGGCAGCCGGACTTTTACAGGGACTAAAGGGAGGAGACACTTAGACGCATTTGGATTTAGAGCTTCTTTGGGAATCGTTCTACTGGAGGAGCACTTAGCAGTGCGTGTAATCAAATTGAAGAGACTCGAGGGGTTAATTAGTCCCCACTTCCTTCACGGAAAGAACTTGAAGTGCAGGGATTCCAAAACAAGTGACAAAATCCTTAGACATTGCTTATGAGGTGTCTTTTTTCCCCCCTTTGTTTTGATGTGGGCTTCAGACTTTTTAAATTAACATTTTCAGCAAGTAGCATAGCTCAGCCAGCAAGAATTTAGACTCAGGGAAGATGCTGCAAGATCTGAATGCAATTCACATCGGGAGCAGAGATTGCTTGCCTTCTAGAGATGGCAAGACTCCCTCTTTCCCAGAGACAAAAGATATTCCTGGACCTGCTGGTACACCTTTGCAGCCCCTTGACTGGGGAGAACGCATAAAGACAGAAAGATAATAGGAAGTCCTTAGCACTTTTCAGAAATTCGTATTTTATTTGTCACAACAGCATCTGCTTCTATCTATGGGAGGAGAGGTACACCTCTGTGCAGATCATTATTTATTCAGTCACGGGTGTGGGACCCTCGCCACAGGCACATTTGGAACATGCTGTGTAGCTCATCAATTAGGAGCAGGTTTTGGAGGTAGAGGTGCCTGGAATTCATCCCTACTCCATCCTACCCTAAATGTGGGAACTTCAGCAAGTTACGTCGCTGCTCTGGGCCTCCGTTTCCTCATCTATAAAGTGGGTATAATAAACAGGCCATCTCACAGGGCCGCCAGAACAATTAAGTGAGACAGTGCATGTAGATTATCTGACAGGTGGTGAATCCCCCATAAATGGTCTTACTTGTAGAGCATCCTTTGGAGTGGACACTGTGGACGCTTGGGCAGGTAACTCTTTGCTGTGGGGTTGGCCTGCGTGCTGTCGGGCGTTTAGCAGCCACCCTGGGCCCCCTCCCTGGCCCCCAGCAACACTCTTCACTGCTTCGGAGATTACCGAGCACCTTCACCTGGATTATCATGTTTGATTTTCACAACTAAAAAAGTGTCAAGTCCCGCGTTAGCCCCTCTGTTTTAGAAAAGGGACTGGGAAGTAACATGAATTTCGGGGCTTGGCTGTGGGGGTGTCTGGGGAGGCCCCGATCTAGTCTGTGCCCCCTCTTCAAAGAGCAGTGCGCCCCCTAGCGGTGTCCCCTAGGTGACTGCAGGAAAATGGTAATGCCCCCAGGTGGTGGTACCCGAAAACAAGCAGCCTATTTTGAAAGGAAATGATTAAAATGCTCACAAGCAAAAGGTATAGACAGATCACAGCTACCTGCCCCCTGGATTCTCCAGGGAAGGAGCCTCCCGCCCAGCACAATGCACGCTTCCCCATGGGGTTTCCCGAGGGCAGGCCTCCCCCTGGCTTCCTGGGAGACATCAAAACAAAGCTATCCCATTAGTGACTGATTGCAAGAGCCTGCAAATCATTAAGCGAAGCTGAGGGGAGACTTGGGAGCCGAGCAGAAGCGAAGGGACCAGCAAAGGGACCAGCAAAGGCTGCAGGGAGTGGGGCTGGGCTGCCAGGGGCTGCTCCAGCAGGGGGCGGGGGTGGGGCTGGCCCTCTGTCCCCTGGAGCTTGTGTGACCCCGGCCTCAGTGGCCTTTGGGTTCCTCGTGTGTAAAGAGAAAGGAATCTGTCCAATGTGCATGATGGACTTTCTGCCAGGAAAGAGACTCTTGGCCTAAAAGAAAAAAATAAAATGGGTTAGACTAAAAATGCCAAAACGCTTTGGAAATGAACACACCTATTTTTTTGGTGGCATGCCCCTGCCACCAACTAGTTCTGTGTTGTCGAGCACGTAGCTTTCCCTCTGGGTCCTCACCGCAACCCCGTGTGTAACTGACTGCAGGCCAGGTGTGGCCCTCAGCGTTTTATACACGGGGGGCAGGGGGGCAGCAGTAGGTTTATTGGTGACAATAAAGAGCACTGTGCCAAAGTGTGCTTGAGGATAGCGAGCAGACTCCAAGAGTGTGTAAACTACAAGAATGTGTAAACAATGAAGGCCGGCAATTTGAGCTCTTACAAGATTGTGCCTAAGGGCACGGTGCCACTGTGACATTCTTTTGAGTTAATAAATTTATTGCAATAATCATAACCAGCATGTCTTTCTCCTTAAGAACAACTGTAAACCTACTTTTGCTGACCCCTGTCTATGAACTCATTCCTTCTTCTTTTTTTTAATCCTCACCTGAAGACATGCTTATTGATTTTAGGGAAAGGAGAAAAGAGGGGAGAGAGAGAGAGAGGGAGAGAAACATTGATGTGAGAGGGAAACATCGATCGGTTGCCTCTCATATGTTCCCTGACTGGGGATCGAACCCACATGTTCTCGGTGTATAGCCACTGTGCTTCCATTCCCCACAGCAACAAGACAGGGAGCCTCCGGCTCTGAGATGTGATGTTTCTCTCTCCTCCCTCACTCTCCACTTAAACCTCAATGTCTGTTTGTAAAACTTGGGATTCCATAGTGTGATAGAGTGACTTAAAGTGTTGTTAAAACTCGCTCCTCCAGGGAGTGAAATTTGCGTTCTGCCTGGAGATTCCTGACAAGGAAAAGTCTGACACTGAGAGTGTCTCTGATGGCAGAAATGGAGCGTGGAGACGCATTCCCGAGGGAGCCAGAGTAGACAAGTCTTCCTTCCTGGGGCCTGAGCCACGCCCCGTCTGGGCCTGCGCAGACCATGGCTGCTGGCCAGGGTCTCCTAGTTCTCAGCGCTGTGAAAAGCAGGGAGCGGTTACACGAGGGATGTGGTTCCTGGCTTCTCTGAAATCCAAAAAGCGAAAGGAAGGAAAAAAGGAAGCTTAACCCTTTCTTTTCCATGCCTTTTTTTATGCAGTACCGTTATTGAGAATATAACATATGATTCCTTGTTTTAAGGGCGCAATTCAATGTATATTCACAGAATTGTGCTCCCGCCACTGTGATCAAGTTTAGAACATTTTTATCACCCCTAAAAAACATGTCCTCGCTTGTAGGCACTTCATATTACGCCCCCCGCCCCCTGCCCTGTCCCCTCCTCTTCTCCCCGAGCCCTAAGCAACCGCCAATCCGCCTTCTGTGTCTGGACTCACCTATTCTGGACCTAGTCCCCACAGATGAAATCAGACAATGGGTGGCCTCTGTCACTGGCCTCTTTCACTTACCATGTTTTCAAAGTTCATCCTTTTTAGCACGTATCAGTGCTTCATTCCTTTTTACAGCCAAACAATATTCCTTCGCAGAGACGGACCACACTTGCTTATCTCTTCATCAGTTGATGGACTTTTGGGTAGTTCCCAGTTTGGGCTACTATGAATAATGCTGCTGTGAACATTCATGTGCAGATTTGTGTGAACATGTTTTCGTTCCTTTTGGGTATATACCGAGAACAGGAATTGCTGAGTCATGTGTTGGCACTATGTTTAATTTTGTCAGGAACTTGCAGACTTTTCCAAAGTGGCTGCCTCATCTTACATCAGAAATGTCTAACTACCAGAAATGTCTGAGGGTTCCGATGGTCTCCACCCCTTTGTCAACACTTATTATTATCTGTCGTATGATTTCCACCACCCTCGTGAGTGAGAAGTGTCCCACCTCAGGTGCGGCGGGTGTGTGTGCGCGTGGGTGCAGACACACCTCCTGCCTTCAGGAAATACAGACCAGTGTGACTCTGGCCCTGGACCCCGCCTTCCCTCCTGGGCACCATCACCTGCCCCCTCCCACTTTTGTCACCTTCTCCCTACCCTGGTCCCAGAGGGTGGTGGGGGCTGAGGACCGGACACCAGAGTCCACGGCTCCTTCTTCCTCACTAGAAACTTCCTGTTGGGTTAACCAACTGTGCGTCACCTGGCGGGCGGAGGAGGAGCAGGGACCGCCAGCCTGCCCCTGCCCGGCAGAGGCTGACGGACTCCTGTCTCCTCAGGGCACCACGGCAAGGCGGGAGTGGCCCACACCTCTGCCCGTCCTGCCCCTCACTTCTGTCAAGAGGTCCTCTTTATGTTAGACAGGACACTGCCCCTGAGGAGGCGGGAGCCCCCCAGCTTGTCCCCAGGGGGCGCAGGTCCCCCTTGCAGGGTGTATGTGAATGAAGATGCTGGAGTGGAGGGTTCCAACCGCTGTGTCCAGGCCCAGCCTGGTCAGCGGATTCTCTCTACGGCTGGAGGCCTTTATAATGGGTCCTCACAATAACTCTGGGGAGTGTTATCGCCCCCATTTTAAATACTGTATTTATTTAATTTTAGAGAGAGGGAAAGAGAGGGACAGAAACATCAGCGTGCAAGAGAGGCATCGGTTGGTTGCATCTCATCGACTGGTTGCTTCTTGCATGACTCTGACCGGCAACCTGGCCTTTAACCCAAGCATCCGCCCTGACTGGGAATCGAACCCGCCACCTTTTGGTTCACAGGCTGGCACTCAGTCTCCGGAGCCTCACCAGCCAGGGCCCCCGTTTTAAAGATGAGGAAACTGAAGAGCATGGGAATCAAGCTGGAAGATGGCAGTGGGCAAATTCTAAATGAGATCCGTAGATTCAAAGAGCGAAGCTCATTCCACTTTTACGTTTCTCCCGCTTGTCATGAGGGATTGTCTTAAATGAATGCTCACTTTCCTCATGTGTCCGAGGGGAGGGAGGATATCATCACGGAATGTGTGCATTTAAGAGTCCCCAAAAGTCTGTACTTAAACACTTCCTCACTGTGCCTTCTGCCTGTTCCAGCAAAAGTCCAGGGCTAAGGGAATTTGTCAGTGGCCCTAAATTATTAAAATGGTTTGCATTTTTCCTCTTGGATTCTTAGCGGCGTCTGTGTGTAAGGCTGAGCTTGAGGGCATTTGCTGCAGTTGGCAAACACGCAGTGGGAGCGGCCCAGAGGCTAGATGGGGTGTTAGAGTAGGTCCCTCGGTGTCTTCCTGACCCAGTGGTTCTCAGCGGGGGGCCACTCCCCGCCCACCCGGGGCAGGGGACATTTAGCAATATCTGGAGACATTTGGGTCGTCACCGGTGCAGGAGGGGTATCCCCACAATGGGTACAGGACAGCCCCCTGTGACAGAGTCATCTGGCCCTGAGTGCTGCCTTTGAGAGAGCCTGCCCTCACCCCAGGGGGTAGAGGGCAGGTTGCGAGATCGGGAGCCCACGAAAGACAGGTCCTCAGGTTCCCTGCCACCTTCCATGAGACGAGAGGGTGAGTGCATGGGGGCCCCGCCTCCTGACCTAAGCCACGGCCTCTCCTCCCACAGAGGCTGACACTGGTGCTCGCCCTGGCGACGCTGATCGCTGCCTTTGGGTCGTCCTTCCAGTATGGGTACAATGTGGCCGCTATTAACTCCCCTGCCGAGGTAGGTCGCTGTGGTGAGTGAGTCCCAGGAAACTGGGAGGTGGGTGTGGAGCGGCTGGGGCCCCAGGGGTGGCCAACAGCGCGGGGCAGCTCACTGGGTCCTCGAGCAAAGGGACAGGGAAACACACACGAGACACAGCACAGGACCCGGGGGACTGGCCAGCGCAGGGCCATGGGGATGAATCGGGTGCCTGGGCCTGGCCGGACACACAGCGGGCCGGCCCGAGCTTCTACTGTCTTGCAATGTATAGAGAACCCTGGGGTGGGGGGCGGGAGCGCCCCCCCAGATGGGAAGGCCAGAGTCAGTCCCCTCTGGTGTTCGATCCTCCTGACCGGTGGCCTGCCAGAGGCCTTGTGGCCCTCCCCACGGGACCCCCTGCTGATTGCCATCGACACAACTTCCTTCCACGCAATGTGGGTGTCTGCGGGCCCAACAGCGTACGCGGCTCTTTCTGCAAAACCAGGTCATGTTATTTTGGTGTTCTGTGTGCTTTATTCTCCAGTATATGAAAGAATTTTATAACGAGACCTACTATGATAGGACCAGTGATTACTTGAGCGACTTCTCCTTGACCCTTCTGTGGTCCATTTCTGTGTCCATGTTCCCCTTTGGAGGCTTCATCGGATCCCTCATGGTCGGCCCCTTGGTGAATAAATGTGGCAGGTAAGGGAAGGTGAATTTTCGACTCCGCAAAGCAACTGCACCCCATCAGAGTTTAAAACATAGGCTTGAAGTGGAAATCTTTGTTGTAAAGCTAGGAGATGCCACCAAGATGAAGTTTTCTAATGTGGCCCTAAGACCAGACATTGACCAAGTATTTGAGGACCTAGGCAAGGCCTTTGGGCCGGAAGTGTAGGTGGCAGGTCTCAGGTCCTGGGGTGGACACAGAAGGAGCAGAGTGCTTCAAAGGTCTGGCCTCACGCGCACTGTCTCTGCTCTCTAACCTTGAAGTTGTGCTTTGTTGTTGTTGTTTTACCAAAAGCAAAACCAAGGTCTCTCCTCTTTTTTTGCCTTTGGAAGAGTCAAACATCCGATGCCATGGCCCGGCAGCTCGTCCCACTGCCGGTCACAGCATGGCGTGCTTGGACTCTGCCTCCGAGACCAACGTTCACTAATGTCTTTGCTCTTCCCCCTTGAGACTAAGTCATGTGCAAAGTTTAATCCAAGTTGAATTGCTGTGAAAGTCCGAAATGGCTGCGCTTACCAGCCCCCCCACCCCCGCCCCGTGAAGCCCTGAGTTTCCCGGGGGACTCTCACTGTGAGCGCAGGGAATGTCAAGGGCAGGGCTTATATCCATGCCCCTCATTCTAGAAGGATTGGAAATTCTGTATTTGATTCCAAAAAAGGTCCTTAAGTCATCCCACTCTCCCATGGCAATTCCATGGGCCTGGGAGACCAGCCTTGTTATAAACAGCATTCAAGAGCCCTCTACGTGCCCTGACCGGTGTGCCTCCGTGGGTTGGGCGTCATCCCGCAAAGCGAAAGGTCGCCGGGCCGAGTCCCAGTCAGGGCACAGGCCTGGAATGTGGGCCAGGTCCCCGGCTGGGAACACGCAAGAGGCGAGCAAAGGGTGTTTCTCACATCGATGATTCTTTCTCCCTCCCTTCCTCACTCTCTAAAATTAATTAATTAATTAATTAAATCTTTACTAAAGAGAAAAAGAGCTCCTCCCCTCAACCTGTCTGAGACCAGGAGCACAGAACCTCCAGTTAGGGATCTAAGACCCTAAGGCCCCCCGCGAGGTTGGGTTGGTATTGGGGCCAGGCCACAGTCCGGCCTACAGGACCCTTCCCCTGGAGTGAAGGACTTGCAGTTTGGTATGGAAATGGAGGGGACAGTTGCTTGTTCTACGGTCTGCTTGGGAATGGGATCAATGCTATTTAATTGCTTATGGTTTTCTTAACGATTTGTAGGTGGTCCTCAAATAACAGCAGCAACTAACCTTTGCTGATGGGGTCCTGCGTGCCAGCCTCTGTCCTGAGTGCCTTCAGGTCACTCAGTCCCCTCATCCTTACAAAGCCCCGCCCCCTTTCCAAAGATGGGGGAGCGAGGCCGGGAGAGCTGCTGTAACCACAAACGGATCTCACAGCTGGGCGGGAACTGCACTTCGGGCGTGTGCGCATCACCACCCCGCTGTCTTCGGTGGCACCTGGCAAATCCTCCCTCAATCCGTTGTTTTATTTTTCAACCATACATACAGTGGTATCTTTTTACGTGAAATTTTTCATTGCTCAAGTGGTCAATTTTAACTCTAACTTATAGAGTTTTTGCTTTTCGTGTTGTCTGACAGCCTTTCCTCCCTGGAGCCATGAGGAGAGTAGTGTATATAATTTAAGAAATAATGTAACAATTTCGCTTTTCCCAGATAGAGCTGGAGTTTTATTTTGTGTATGGTGGGTGATAAGAGAAAGCTAATTTTTTTTCCATGTGAAAGTCAGTTGTTTTACATTTATCTTAGTTATTTGTTCTTTTACACGTCTGTGTTAATTTTTAAATGAGTTTATCAAAATCCCTGAAAAAAATATTCTTTTTGGCATTGCTTTGGTGTTGATGGTAGGTTTCTAGAGGAGATCACCTTTGTTGGCTTCCATAAGTTCTATTTATAGCTGTTAACCTTGTTTTTTTTTTTAAAAAAAAATAACAACACAATAGATATCAAATTTTATGGACTTCTTTTGCAGCTTCAATTGATAATCTTATATTTTCCACCAGTATAATCTTTAATATGGTATTTTTAGTATTGAAAGATTTGTATATGTCCTGTAGAATTCAATCTGCTACTATTTCCTTGAGGGCTTTTGCATCTCTGTTGGTACGTGAGGGTGGCCCATACTTCCTTCTAATGTTTTTACCCAGTTGGAGTTTTCAGATTGCACCAAAATCATGTCAGTCTGTGATTGCAACAAACTTGTACTGTGTCCCTGGGCACTGCTCACTGCTGTCACCAAGGTGGCGCTGGGTGAATGTTTGATACCCGGAATTGCGGACCCTTAGACCAAGCTGGGGGACGTTTTCTCCTGCAGGAAAGGGACCTTGCTGCTAAACAACGTCTTCTCCATTGTGCCCGCGATCTTAATGGGAAGCAGCGAAATCGCAAAGTCTTTTGAGATGATAATTGTGTCCAGACTTCTGGTGGGCATCTGTGCAGGTAGGCAACACTACGCTGCGCTGCCGTGCCAGGTGTAGAACAGGCACGAGGAGGGAGGACAGCCCTCAGGTCCCAACCAACCTGGGGTCTCTGAGGCACAGACCCTCAGACTGTCCCTCAGCCGCTGGTGTAAGTGATACTCAAGTCCCTGCATTCGTCTCTGGTACGGACAGCGGGCACGCTCTCCCTGTGATGTGTGTCGTGCGAGGGAAGCTGTTCTTTGAAAGACTGCAGTACAGAATCTCAGGTCCGGGGGGTCCTTCCAACCCAGTCCTTAATCTCTGTGTTTTCCAAACAGCAGGTCGGGGCCAGGGAGTGGGGTGGTGGCAGCTATTTAGCGAACATTTTCTTTCTTTCTTTCTTTCTTTCTTTCTTTCTTTCTTTCTTTCTTTCTTTCTTTCTTTCTTTCTTTCTTTCAGATTTTATTTATTTATTTTTAGAGAAAGGGGAAGGGAGAGAGAGAGGGAGAGAAACATCAATGTGTGGTTGCCTCTTGCATGCCCCGCACTGGGGACCTGGCCTGCAACCCAGGCATGTGCCCTGACTGGGAATCGAACCGGTGACCCTTTGGTTCGCAGGCCAGCGCTCAATCCACTGAGCCCCACCAGCCAGGGCAGCATTTTCCTTTTTAAAATAGAGTCGACTGTGTCACATGAAATAAAGGTAAGGATTGTCTTTGGCAACTTTGGTTTCAGTTATTTATCTGTGTACATGTGTAAGATCCAGGTTGCAATGTAAAATGTGCTTCGGTAGCTTTTACCGTGGGTCGTGGTCAAAAAGCTTGAGGAACAACCTCACGGATGGATCCCTCTAACAGAAAGGAGTTAATGATAGCAACCTTTCAACTTTCATAGGGGCATTTAACGTTTGCAAAGGGCTGGTCATGGCTCTGTTTCACTTATCCCCTCAGCTCACCTGCTGAGGAGGGTAAGGACCTGCCTGGTTTGAGAGAGACAGACAGACAGACAGAGAGGACTCTCAGGTGCTCCCAGGGGCTGGCTGCTCCTGGGCAGCTCCATGGCTTGAACCCAAATGCTGTCCCTGGAGGAATGGGAACTTCGGAGGCCACTTTCTCTGACTCTGGTTTCAACACAGGTTGGTGGGTGTTGTTGCCCCATGGAGTCATTTTTAAGAAAAAATAAAGATTGCTTTCCATCAACAGGAAGGGAGTCCCGCCTCTTTACAAACTGCCAGATGTTTCACTCTTCAGTGTCCTTCTTTGTCAAGGTCAGAAGTCCTCGACATTAGGATGCGGCCGCCAGGGCCTGGGTGTTGACTGGGGAGCCCCCCCACAGCCTTCTGGGCACTGGGCCTGCAGGGTGTTCTCCCCCAGGGCTACTAAGAGCAGCTCTGCCCAGTGCATCTCTTTGCTCTGAAAATTGGGAAGAATGGGTAGTAAAGAACGGTGATGTCTTTTCAAATGCTAAAGCAGAGACACCCTTGGTCAGAAGAACTACGAAGCTTGAGGACTTCGATTCCCTCCTGCCTCAGTGCTGTCAAATCCCTCCCACTGTCAGCAGCTCTAACCTCCACCCCCGGGCCTCCCTTTCCTCCCGGGGCCCCTCTGGCTCTGGCCTGGCTCTCAGACCCCGTGCCTTCGGCTATGCAACGCTCGGACTAGTAACAGCCCATCATTGGACCTCCCTCTGAGGCTCCCAGCCCTCCGCTGGGCTCTGAGCAGAATGAAAAGGGATCGTATATGTGCCAAAACTTCAGACCCTGTAAAATTAATTCCACCTGTTCTTAAAGGCACCCAATGCCAGTAAAATGGGAAAACATCAATGTTTAAATATTGGGGATTCCAAACTAGTCTGGGCATTACACAGATCCCAGCTAGCAGCCGTTCCACAATACAGCGTTCAGTGTTTAATGCTTATGATAAACAGAGGTTCAGTGTCTCTAAAGGTACCTGTGCACCGGTTTGTTATGTAACACACGGTCTCAGGAGGCGAAGCGGGTGTGCAAGGCCTCGACCTTTCACCAGCAGGCCCACATCCGGGCGTGTCTTCTCCCGGACCACGCCAGTTAGCGGGGGAGGCTGAGACCAGGTGTCCCCAGGTGACACCCGTCAGGAAGCAAAGGCACTTGTCCATGAACTTTTTCCATCGGACTGTATTCTCTCTCCTCAAAGTTTGGAAGATCTAGACTTAAAAGAGATGTTTGCTTCCTTTGGCCGTTTAGTTTTGAGAAAGATTCGGCCCAACGGTTGTGCTCGCTAAGTCTCTTTGAAGGCCCGCCTGACCCGGCCAGACTCCTGTTTCCTGATGGTGTTTTTACTTCATCCTCCTTCCAGGTCTGTCTTCCAACGTCGTCCCCATGTACTTAGGGGAGCTGGCCCCCAAGAACCTGCGGGGGGCCCTGGGGGTGGTGCCCCAGCTCTTCATCACCGTCGGCATCCTCGTGGCCCAGATCTTCGGCCTCCGGAGTCTCCTCGCAAACCTGGAAGGTAGGCCGGGCGTCTCCGGGCCCCCAGCCCTCCCTCTGCCTGGCTGGGCTTTCCCTGTAGTCGGCTGACTGTCCTTCTGGGCCCCCACACCGCCCTGACCCCATACCGCCATGGCCCCACACGTTGGTGACGGGAGGCGGGGGTGCATGGATCGGCTGACAATTTTTAGTCCCTCTTAGGATACTGGTGCGGTGGCTTTGAGTGAATGGGAAGCACCGTTGTCTGACTTTCTCTCGGCCTGATGGCGGCAGCTGTCCTCGTGAGGGCTGAGACCGTGGCAGCAGTGGCCACCGGCGTGCCGGGCTTTGTGCGCACGGCTTCCAGGAGCCGGCTCTCAGCAACGCCACTGCTGGGGGCTGTGTGTGATCCCCTTCCACGCGACCCGGCCCCTGTGGGTGAGGTGGGGAGTCACAGGACCACCCAAACCCTGACTCTGGAGCCACACACCCCTCCCGAAGAGCCCGCGGCCTGGCACCTAGTAGGTGCACAGTAACTCATTGCCATCACTGGTTTTGCGTGACCTTCCCTTTCTTTGTCTTTGTCTGAAAGGGAAATCACCATTGATAACACCAGCCAGTGTGTATAAAGTGCTCATCGGGGGCCAGGCACAAGGCCTGCTGTGCCAATCCCTTTAATCCTTCGAATAGCCCTGGGAAGCACACACTGTTGTTGTACCCATTTTACAGATGCATGACCCAAGGCATAGAGAGATCGGATAACATGATCAAGGTCTCATTCGGACACAAACTCGGGCAGCTCAGGCCTAGACCAGGTTTAACCGCCACTCTTTCCCCACTTTCAGGCCCCCTCAGAGGGAGCGGGGAGCAGGGTGAGGTTGCTGGGTTCCCATCTTCTGGCGATGGTACGGGAACCACCTGCAGGGCCCAGAGCGACCGCTGGTGTCTGTGAAGCGCTCTGCGTTGTGCGGGAGGGGCTCAGAGAGGGCCTGCACCGGGGGGCGCGGGACAGGGTCCCAGACACGGGCCGTGTGTGAACGTGTGAAAAGTCCCTCGTGCGTTCCGGGAGCTGGGAATGTTGTGGTGGGCTGCACTTTGTCCCCCATCCTCGCTGAGACTCTGACATGACCAGGGGTCACGGAGGGCAGGGCCTGGCCTTACTCACCTTGGGCTCCCCAGCACAGTCCATGGCAATCCCTGGTGCTGAAAGAACAAGGGAGTGAGGGAGAGAGGGAGAGAGGGAGAGAGGGAGAGAGGGAGAGAGGGAGGGAGGCCCAAAGAGAATAGCGTCAGAAAGGGAACGGCGTCACAGTGTAGAGACAGGGAGTCAGGACGGAACGCGGCGTCTGGATTTGGTAGTTCAGGGTCTCTGAGAAGAGTTCCAGTGTAGGGGTGAGTCGGGGTGGGGACCAGAGGCCCGATGGCGGTGCCCCCCCCCCCCCACCGAGTAGGAGGTGAGTGCGCGCTTGCTGTAAAGGTAGTGACGCAGGATTCAGGGCTGAGGTTGGAAGGATGATGGCCCAGCCTGTGCAGGGCAGCAGTTGAACTTGACGTTGCAGGGCACTCATTTTCTTGGTGAAGAGCAATAGGGTGACGTAATGGGGGGCACAGGTTCAGAGGCTGACGCATGACTTGAAATAGATGATGTCTGCGGGTGGGTGTTCTTCATTTATTGCGCTTCCACTTCAGTAGCTGGAATCTATTTAATAAGAGACCAGTGGTAAATCCCTGTCTGTCAGGTGGCCATCACCTAAGTTTGACTAAAAGTCTGTACAAACCATGGTTTAGAGAGTCCAGGGTTCAACGTGCCTGGGTTCAAACCTCTGTTTTGCTCCTAAATAACTGCTCTTGGGCAAGGGACCTACACCCTCCGGGCCTCCGCATTTGCAGGTGTAAAATGAGGTTGGTCCTGGTTCCCGCCCCATGACAGCAACCGAGCCAGCCACCCAGCGCCCAGCACAGAGACGCCCAAGCTCGTCCCTGACTGCGAGCCCGAGGCGGGAGGGGCTGAGTCGGGGCATTAGCAGCTCTCAGAAGGAACTGCTCACTCGCTCAGGGAGCCATTTTCATTGTGAGATGAAGCCTACAGAAGGAAGAACGCATAAAATGTGAATGTGCGTTTAGTTAAAAGGAAACCATACACCTGAGTGACCGCCACCCAGGTCCTGAATCAGACCCGCGCCAGCCCCCGGCAGCCCACTGTGCGCCCCTCGGTCACGGCCTTCCCACCCCGCACGGCGCCGCTGTGCCTGTATTAGTGACCGTCTCCTCCTTGCTTTGCCCGATAGTTTCACCACCTTCACAAGGACAGAGTTAACCTCCCGTTTCTGGACTTTGCCTGGTGGGACCCTCTGTGTATGTAGCTGGTTGCAGCCAGCATTGCGTGTGTGACGCGGGTCCCTTCGGGTCTTGCTTCATTTTCACTGCGGTGCAGAATTCCACATTGCGAACAGCTATGATTTATGTAGCTGATCTACCACCACGGCGCTGGCGTAGCCCCCAGTTCTAGTCTGTAATCAGGGCTGCTCTGGCCGTTCCGGTTCGGGCGTCCTGGTGGCCCAGGCACGTCCCCTAGCAGGACTGCTGGGTCAGAGCAGGGAGGGCGTCCCGTATCACCAGCTCCTGCCAGACTGTCCTCTAAAGACATCGCATGTCCACATGACGACAGTGTGGAGACTTCCCATTCGCCCACATTCTCACCAACCCTTGGTGGCGCCAGGATTTTTCATTTGTCCATCGGGTAGGTGGGCACTGGTTGTTCATCGCTGTCCGTTTTGTAAGTAGTTGTGTTAGGCACCGTCCTAGGTGCTGTGGACGTGGGGAATGAGGAAGACAAAGGCCCCGCCCACTCAGAGCTCGCGTGGCAGCTCCGGTCAGAGTAATAGGACAGAGTGGCCGGCTGGGGGCTGCAGGGGGCGGGGGCAGAGGCAGGGCCCTTGGCTGGGGCCAGGGGCGTCTGTGACAGGTGGCGGTGGGGCCACACTCATGGGAGATTGGGTTCCGCGCAGGCTGGCCCATCCTCCTCGCCATCACGGGAATCCCAGCGGCCCTGCAGCTCCTGCTCTTGCCCTTCTTCCCTGAGAGCCCCAGGTACCTGCTGATTCAGAAGAAAGACCAACAGGCTGCCAGGAAAGGTGAGGCTGTCCTGCGGGAGGGGGAAGGGACAGCGTCGCGGCATCTCTGCTCTGGGGAAGCGGTGGCTGACCCTCAGGCGCCCTCCTGGCCCCCCACCTCAGCGCTACAGAGGCTGCGCGGCTGGGACGACGTGGAGGCCGAGGTGGAGGAGATCCGACAGGAGGACGAGGCCGAGAAGGCCGCGGGCTTCATCTCCGTGATAAAGCTGTTCAGGATGAGGTCCCTGCGGTGGCAGGTCATCTCCGTCATCATCCTCATGGCCGGCCAGCAGCTGTCAGGAGTGAACGCGGTACGGGGGCGGCCGGGGGCCGGGAGTGGCGGGGCACGTCTGGGCTGCGGCCTGGCCGGCCCTACCAGCCTCTGGCCTTGCCTTCCAGATCTACTACTACGCAGACGAGATCTACCGGAGCTCAGGGGTGCAAGACAACGATGTCCAGTATGTGACGGCGGGCACGGGCGCTGTCAACGTGGTGATAACCATGTGCGCCGTGAGTGCCCCGGGGCTGACGCCCGTCGGCTGCCAAGGGCGGAGGGCATCTTGAGAGTGGGGGGCCCTGCCGGGAAATGGGCCATGGGTCCGAGGCAGCAACATGCCCCTTGGTCCCCTCCTGCATGGCCTCCGGGTGCTCCTTGCGGGAGGCAGCCCTGGGCGCCACTGTGGGGGGTGGCTCTCCGGCTTCTCGGAAGCCACTCCCCATGCCAGGGCGTGACAGGAGCAGGGGGCCCAGACCAAGCGGTATTGGGGCCCGTGGGCCGTTCCGGGGCATGCAACCCACAGGCTCTCCGGGCGGGTACCCCTAGGAAAGGGGGTGCCCGGGGGGTGCCAGACGGGCAAGGAGCTTCCAGCGAAGGCAGCTCCGGGCAGGGGTGGACCTGGCGGGGCTTGGGGTTCCTGAGTCTCCCTGCCTCTCCGGGGCCTCTTTGCCTCCAGGTGGTCGTGGTGGAACTTTTGGGAAGGAGATTCCTGCTGCTCCTGGGCTTCACCACCTGCTTCACCGCCTGCTGCGTGCTGACCGTGGCTCTGGCTCTGCAGGTGAGGGGGGTGGGGCCCGGCGCAGCCCCCACGCCCCACCCCCAGTGGCCCGCCAGCGACCTCCCACCGATGTTCCAGTGGCATCAGGTGGCACTGCCTGTTGAAGGAGGAGCCAGGCAGAGCAGCTGGCCCTCTGGGAACCCAGATTCCAGACATTGTCCGTCCCAGGTTGTCTCTGCTCTGCCAGGTGGGATCCAACTCTGTCTCCTCCACAGAACACAGTATCCTGGATGCCTTACCTGAGCATCACCTGCGTCATCGTCTACGTCATAGGACACGCCCTGGGGCCCAGTATGTACCCCGGAGCTGGTTCTGTGCCTCCATTGCCCCCCACGCCCTGTACCATCAGCCTCTGAAACTCCTGGCTTGAGCCCCTGGGAGGGGCCCCAGGGGAGGCCCGTCTTGCCGTTGCGTGGGGTCCGGGCAGAGCACAGTGAGGGCGACAACAGTCAAGCCGCCTACATAGGTTGAAACGTGCTGTCCCATGACTGGCCATGAGAGTCTTAGAGGAGGTGACAGGCGCCTTTTAGGGACATCACAGGATGTCACTTATTGTGCTGAACACTTGCGCTTGGCCTTCTCATGCTGCTTCTGCCCAGGACGGGGAGTCCTGGAGACGCACCACTCCCACCTCGAACCACACGCCTAAGGCGTCTTGCACACAGCAGGGGCTCCAGGACCCTTGGGGGGCTCGCTCTGCCTCCGGGGAGTACAGCTGTCCCTCTTCCACCCCCAAGGTCCCATCCCCGCGCTGCTGATCACTGAGATCTTCCTGCAGTCCTCCCGGTCGTCTGCCTTCATGGTGGGGGGCAGCGTCCACTGGCTCTCCAATTTCGCCGTGGGCTTGCTCTTCCCCTTCATTCAAGTAAGTGTGACCCCGGGGGCCCTGGCTTCACAGAACCCTCTGGCAGTGAAGGGAGAACCTTTTCAAGAGAGTGAGCCCGGCTTGCCTCCCCGCAGGAGGGCCTTGGAGCGTACAGCTTCATCATCTTTGCTGCCATATGTCTGCTCACCACCGTCTACGTGTTCCTGGTTATCCCCGAGACCAAGGCCAAGACGTTCATGGAGATCAACCAGATTTTCGCCAAGAAGAATAAGGTGTCAGAGGTGCACCCAGAAAAGGAGGAACTGGAGGACCTTCCACCCTCCACGTTGGAGCAGTAACTCAAGAGGAGGAGCCTGTTAAGGGGGTCTGTGCGGAGCTCCCTTCGTGGGGCTTTTTCCTGACTACGAGCTGTCTGTAAATATCCAGAACTAGGACAAGGCCAGTGTGGAACGCAGGCCCCGTGGGGCGGCCCGCAGGGCTCCTGTGCGTCCTCAGGGCTGGGCTGCCTCTCCCCAGACGGACCTCCCATCGACCCTGTACCCCCGTGAGCGGCAGGCTGGCCGTTGCATGCCTCCTGTGACAACAGCCCTTGCACCCTCACTGTGGCGGTCAGACAGAAGGAACCAAATCTGGCCAGAGAAACCGACTCTGCTCCATCCCATGGGCCTTCCAGGGGCCGGGGGCGTGTGTGCAGAGCAGAACTCATTGTCTTGTGAGATCCGTCTCCAGAGTCACCACCCTTGGCTAGTGTGATGTCACGAGTAATGATGTCTAGGAAGTTGGAGAACAGGTCCCTATGGAGACTTTAACAAAGTCAGAGATGATTAATCCTAAATTATATTGTTAGAGGACAGTGGAGTTGCTTCTGTACACTCAATAAAACAAACATGATCGCTCTCACCAAGATGCGCGGCTTTTCTGTGAGCGGGGGGCTGCGCTGGAGCATCAGCCCCTGCAGGGCGTGGGCTCGGCCGGTTTTGTTCATCCCAGGATCCCCCGGGCCCTCGGGCAATCTCCTCCGAAAGAAAGGGAGATGGGAGAGATGAGGTGGTTGCAAAGTTGTGAGTTTTTAAAACTTAAGATTGGGGAAGACTCTGTGTGTCTTCAGGCACATAAGGAAGAGTGAGGGCTCCTAAAGGTGAGAGGCGGGCGGAGAGAGTGCTCCCCACGAATGCCACAGAGCAAGAGGCCTTGTGTGGAGACCTGTGTGTGTTAAGAGGGTGTGTTCAAGAAGGTGGAGAAAACTTTGCAGCATGGGAAAGGAATGTGGAGGGAACGCCTGCTGAACAGAAAATCTGGTACTGGGGGGTGGGGGGGGCAAAGGCTTGGATCCAGGTGGGACTGAAGTGGGACTGGTAACAGCTTTTGTGGGAGTAGAATGATGAATAACATCACTTATAAGAGTGTTGAGGGCACGGACGAAGTAAATAGCAAAATGCTGGGATTGAACCATCCTTGGCCTTCTGCAGCAGGGATTCTGCAGGGTGGCGGGGCCGCCCCAAACAGCCAAAGGTGGAAGCTCTCAACTCTGAGGGGCGGTAAGGCCGGAATGTCAGAAGTCAAGATACTGTGGCGTTATAAGTTCAGCTCACGCTACCTGCACCACCTCATACACAGGAAGGCTGTAGGGTTCATGACCCTGGAGGTCTGCTCCCTGGGGTCAACCTTGGTTCTGCCACTTAGTAATTGCATAGTTTGGCTTGAATTCCTCTGTACCTTCTGGCTTTTCTGTACCTCAGTTTCCTCTTCTGTTAAACGGAAGTAATAATAACTGTCTCACATGGTTGGTAGTGAGGACTAAATGATGTGCTCATAAGTGTTTAGATCAGTGCCTGGAGTGCACTAAGTGCTTAGTTATTTTTCAGTGCTTGGGAATGAGCTCTGGTCTGGAGGGCAAATAAACCCTCAGGTAAAATACAGCGAGAGACCTATGCTATACGTATAAAGGTGAGGGGCGGGAGAGTGCTCCCCACAAAGGCAGCAGTGCTAGAGGCTTTGCAGAGAGACCTGAGACCCAACAGCCGAGTCAAGGGGCAGCAGGTGGTGGGAACCATCTTATTGCTACTGTGGGAAACTACCAATAAGCCAAGAGAAGGAGTCGAGAGTGGTCCATGTGGTAACCGGTTAGAGGTGGGCGTAACGGTTGGAGCTCATGTCCAGCTTACTATAGACACAGCTGGCTATGTGTAGAAATATTTACAGATGTGTATTTACATGGGTTAGTAAAATTCAACCCGAAGAGGGAAGTCACGGCTGCACTGAAGGAAGGTGTGGAATTAGGAAAGACAAGAGGAACCCGCTGGGCAGAGAAGATGCCGCGGGAAAGCGAAGGACAGCTGTTCCGGGCGAGAAGGGCAGATGAGCAGGGAACTCCAGGTGGTTTGGCCTGAAAAGGGAGCCAGAACGGTGAGGGCAGCTGATCCAGAACCTCTGGGTCCTCATGAGCCGACCTGAGTCAAGGCTTTGTCCCGCGGACGGCCCGGCGTGTTGGTGATCGCCGCCTTTCAGCGAGGGCGGCGGCGGCAGGAGCCGGGCGCAGCCCAGGCAGTCGGAGTGGCCGATACGCAACAAGGAGGGCCCTGCAGGGCCGGCAGTGGCCAGGCCCAGCCGTGGGGGAGACCTCAGGGGGAAGGTCAGTCAGATTTAGGGACCACCAGGCCATCGCAGGCGAGGTGTCTGGTGTCCCTGCTGGGTTTCTAAGGCGGGTCAGTGGTGAACTGTTTGGGAGAAGATAGTAAACATTTTGGACACGTTAAGATGGAGAAGCGCATGGGCCACACAGAAGATGCCTAGAAGGAAGCTGGCCACATGGCTCTGGAGCCTAGGAGAGCAGGAGAATAGATTTGGGGGAAGCGGCACACGTTTGCTGAGCTACAGGCACTGGGGCTACAGCAACGGGGAAACCACGCTGTGGAGGGAGGGGGCGATAGGAAAAATGGAGCAGCAGGGGGGTGGCAGGGAGGGGGAGGGCCGCTGTCCTCTGCCCAGCTGGGAGGTGGCTCTCACAAGCGGTCCCCACAGTCTGAGGAATGGGGCCGGCCAGCGGCGCGCCCGCGCTGGCGTGGGCCTGGCCGAGGGGGCAGGGGGTCAAATGTCCTGAGGGGAGAGAGGGCCGGGGATTCAGGGCACGGGGGGAGGGGGCAGGGGGGAGGTTTGCTAGGCCAGAGTGTCCCATGCTGATCTGCGACCTGTGGTCGTTCCAGCTGCCCAGGAGAAGATCAGACCCTTCCCAAAGGCCTCCCGACGGGTTCCAGCCCCAGGCCTGCCTGAGTGCCCTGGGCACATGGGAGATGGTGGCAGGCGGGAGGCGGGAGGCGGGACTCTACCAGACGGGAAGCACAGGGGCCGCCAAAGAAGACCCAGCTGCCACCTCTGCCGTTTTCTGGGACCGGAAGAGGAGGGGTCCATCAGACTTGATGACTCAGCACCCTCTGCAGAGCCATCTGAGCAACCTGAGGGCAGAAGGGGGACCACTAGGGTGCCGGCCGAGAAAAACACAGGAGCCTACACTTACATTTATGTCTCCCTTCCATCCCCATTCCCGGTACAGCACGTACATGTGCATCACTTAGAAACAACAAATATGCATATACTGGAGATTTGTGGTCAGCATTTTGTTACTGATGGATGATGTCATGAAAATGTTTCAGAGACAGGGATGGGGGGGTGCGGTGGGCAAGCTGACTACCCAGTGAGGGAAGCTGCAGGAGAAATGACGCTCTGGGAGAATTGAAAACTTTCAGGACATGAGAGGCCACTTGGATGCTGGTTAAGGTCAGTCACGGTCAGGGCAGTTGGCAGGTGAGGAAGACGCAGAAGAGGAGGGGCTCTGGACCCCGATTATTCGCCGCCCGGTCCGCGGTACGGGAGCGGTGGCCGGCAGCCAGCAGGGGCTCCGGCTCCGGGGGTGTTTGGAACGGGTGAGTCTCGGTGGGGCCGACTGGAACCGGTGAAGGCAGAGCAGAGTGAGCTGAGCTGCGCGGGCAAGGGCGTAGCCCGGAGGCGCTGCCGGCCCCACGGCGACACTCGTCACCCAGGCAGGCCGGGGAAGGCAGCTTTCACAAGTGGTTTCCACACTTCTGGATCTCACTGACCCAAACTGGGTGATCTAACGCTGGGCTCCCTACGTTTCATTTTGCAAGCACACACACTAAAACGTGCATAAATCAATAACTCCCCCCTACTGCCATAATGAGAAATAGACGATTTTCCTGAGCGCTTTTTACAATACAGGAAGAATGCAACCGCAGGACATATCTCAGTCCTTCAAATGAGTGATTTTTCTTTGTGGAGACCTAATGGCATTACCCTCCCTCCTGATGCCACTGAACCATGGGAGGGGACCGGCTTCGGGGACTGGGGGACAGCAACACTGGCCATTTTCCTCACGGGAGGGCGCGTGGGACGGAGTCCGAAGTCCCACGCAGGCCTGTGAACGAGACAGAGCCTTGCCACCTGACATCTGCTCCCTCAAAGGCCGGTCCTCGGCTTCCAGAAGAAGAAGGAGGAGGCAGGTAGATGTCATCCGGCTCCCTCAACGGTGAGATTTCTTTGTAAAAATACGAGCGAGTGGAACATGCGCCAGGATTCCTCGCCTGCGATCCCCGGCCACTGATGAGGACTCATTGGAAGCTGTTCCTGACGGCCCATACCTGGCTCGGCGCCACGTATGCGCAAGTGGCTTCTTCTGGCTTCTGGCTTCTTGCAGTCTAGCCAGGAAGTGAAAACCACATGCAAAAAGGAACCACGGGATAGCAAGGACTGACAACAGGGGAGCCTGCTGTATCTAGTTTTGCATCTGCCGTGCGTTGTCTTCCTCCTCTGACCCCCGCTGGCGTCTCCCAGAGAGCTGGGCCCTCATTAATAAATGTTGAATGAATGAATGTGAGCTGAATGGCCTGCAAGGAAAAGGCAATCAAACCAACCGTGAGCCGAGGCTTCCAGAAGGGGTGAGGTTTGTACGGAAACAGAAGGTGGGGTGCCCTGCAGGGCGGCGGCGGAGGGCGCATCACAACTCCAGGACATTCACCCGTTCATTCCACCGGTATTTCTGAGGACCCCCTATGTGCCAGGCAGTGGATATAATGGATCTAACAGTCAAAACCAAGTGAACGAACACTTCAGATCGTGTCAGATAGCACTCGGGGTGGAGAGCTAGCGAATGCCCGGCGAGGGCCAGTCCACGCGAGAAAGAGCAGTCGCAGGAAGGGCGTTCGTACCCGCCAGCTGTGGGAAGGCCCTGAGGCTGAAAAGCTACCTCCGTAAGCGGGGTTCAGGGAAAGACCAAAGAAAGGGCTGGCCACCCCAGGCCGGTAATTAATAGAGTTTAACACTTCTTTCCAATTTCTTTTAATACTCACCCAAGGGCATGTTTATTGATTTCATCTTTTTTTTTTTACATTTTATTTATTTTTTTAGAGAGAGAGGAAGGGAGGAGAGAAAGGGAAACATCTGTATGCGAGAGAAACATCTAGCAGATGCCTCTCACATGCCCCCACCCGGGGACCCGGCCCACAACCCAGGCATGTGCCCTGAACCAGTGACGTTTTGGTGTACAGGACAACGCTCCAACCCACTGAGCCACCTGGCCAAGTAGTAGAGCTTATTAAGGGAAGTTACACATGAGGCCTGTCTTGGGTGGCTGTGACATGGAATGGCTCCCAGTGCTGCTCGGCTAGCGCCAAAACCTTATCTAGGGTACAGGGGGCCGCGGGCAGTCACAGGTAATAACCAGTACGTGGGCGCTACCACGTACGGGAAATGAGCGCATGACCAGGCGAGGACAACAGCCTGTCCCAAGGCCCCGCACAGAGCTGGAGGCACAGGAGAGGTGCTGGTTTAGGTTGGAATGAACATCAATTACAACCAGCCTCTGGGGCGGGGGGTGTTGCGGTAAGC